CAACCTACCATCAAACTTTGTAGATCAATTGAACATTGGATTGGACGATTAAAAGGTATTACTGTCGATAAAATTACAAGTGTCATTGACATTTCACCGCATTGTAGCATTATCGAAATCTTATTCGCAACTCTACTATCAGATGTTCATTATATTTAAGACTGATTTACAAGATGACCGACACTTCAACCGAAAATGTATTCGCGAGTGGCCGTGGAACAATTTCTACAATTTTTTATATTCAAAATCTTCGTTTCCACTTTAATTGCTGGGCAATTACAATCCAGTAATATCAGTCGTAATGTGACGCCTACAATAAATAATCAAATAAACTGGGGCAGTGAGATAAATAATATTTCGTTGAGAACGATTGACCTAACTCGGCAATTCCAACCGGCGAACATCATTCACAAATACCTGCGGGCGAGTTTGAATCGACATATTCACCGTGATACGGAAAATGCAGAATGTGATACACAACTAGATCTATTCGTCTCAGGATTATCAGAATTAGAGACATGGGCTCTGAAAAGTAAGAAGATTCATCAATAGAAATAATCTGTTTCGTATGACATAATTGAATCCGACAAGTTTCTTTTTTAATAGCTCATAATTAGTGAAGTATTGAATGTACTAGCGAGTGGGAATTTCAAACCTGTCTATTTCAAAAACGCAATGTTATTCTCAGCGAGAATTGAAAAAGAATTGGAAATGCAATACTGGAAAATGAATAATTACATCTCACTCAGAGATGAAACGATCTAATATCGCAAAAATAATTTGCCGTATGCCATGCTGGAAAACGCCACTTTACGGACGTTGGGCTATAATAATATACAAGAGGTCCCATCTGAAACAGTGTGGCCAAATATCTCCTAAAGCTGGCAAGTAACAAAAAAATATTCGAAACACATAAGTTGTAGGATTTCGAGGGGGACGTTCGATACATGCATTATTTTGAGTTTGCAAGATCATCCTTGCAAGCTGCAAGCACGAAGTGTTTTTTTCACATGGCAACCGCATTTTTCATTCCAATGAAACTTGTTTCTCTTGATGAGGTATTCAGATACCTCCTCATTCATGTACTTTTCTTCTAATTTTACTCTAAAAAAGGTACGAAAATGAGTTCTGTGGTCAGATTGAAGATTCCGACTTTTTTGGCGTGACCCAGCACGCACCGCGTGAAGGTAAAGTGTGATTCGCATGCCTGGTGATAAAAAAATGTAGCGCAAACATGTGCGTAAGTTCATGAGTGTGTAGAGGAGATGCTCAACGTTCTCAACGTTAATTTGCAGACACAACTCAATTCGACGGTGGAAATTCTCAACAATACTTCACACTCTGTACTCTCTTAACATGAGTAAAATATCGCCAATTTCACCGGTTGAATACATCACAGGCAGTTTAATGACATGACAAGTGATGCTAACTCAATTTTGGTTGAACCGGGACGAATTAGAAAAGGAGAATCCTCGAGGTAATAGGAAAATTTTCCATTTGATTCCATTTGATAACTCCAGTTGGTAAACAGAAAAATGGAACAATTACCTACACTAAGGCACGCCAAGGATGTTTGAATGTTCAATTTGACCACAGAGCTCATTTTTGTGACATTTTTCGAGTAAAATTGGAGGAATTACATGAATGATGAGCTATCTGAAAACAACTCATCAAGACGAATAAGATTCATTGGAGTGAAAAATGCGGTTGCCATATAAAAAAAAGCACGTCGTGCTTGCAGCTTCCAAATATGATCTTCCATACTCAACATTATGCATGAATTGGATATCCCTCTCAAAACCCTACAATTTGTGTTTCGAATATTTTTTTGTTACTTGCCCGCTTTAGGAGATATTTAGCCGCACTGTTTCAGATGGAATACCCTGTACACTGTTAGAAATTTCTTGGAAGGTTGAATTCAATTTGAAATGAACGCGTTCATTAAATTTCTCATTCATCTTGAAAATTCAAGAAAACTGGGTTTTTCATCTTAAACAATCATTGAATTTTCAATGAATGCTTGAATTTCTAAACTCATCGTGAAAATTAAGCATCACGTAAGGGAGGTTGGGATAAAATGGACACTTTGGACTTTTTTAAAAATGTTAATGACAGGTTGAAATGGTGATGAAAGTCAATAACTTTTTTTTTTCAATGCAAAGAACAATTCTTGCCCTTTGTGATGAGCCTAAAATGAGCTCCATTGATAAATTTGTTCCTGAGTTATGAGTAATTTAAAAAAAGTCTAAAGTGTCCATTTTACCCCACCCTTCCCTACAATTCAATTTCCAATAGATTGAGAATTCAGAAAAGTTGTTGCCTGAATTTTCAAAAATTTCAAGCTTTTTCAGTACAGAATGGATCTGAAAATCGAGATTTGTCTCTATATAATAAAAAAATAAGGGCAAAATTTAAGACAATTCAGGCGACGCCAAAATTCAGGCGATGCCTAAAGGTGGGGGGGGGGTGGTCAGGGGGTGCCCAAGGTCGGGGGGTTAGAAGGGAGGAAGGTGTCCCACGGTCAAACGCGGTGGGGGGGCTGACAGTTGGATTGGGGGGGAGCAAGCAAAGCGAGCGGGGGGCGAAGCCCCCCGGGGTTGGCGAGCGAAGCGAGCAGGGGGCTAAGCCCCCTAGTAGTTGAATATTCAAGAAATTAACTGATTCGTCAATAGAGAAATACACAGAAATTTCATGCAATTCCAACAACTTTGTCGTTGTTGAAAATTTCCAGCTTTTTCACTTGAAATTTCAAGAGTCATTTTCTAACAGGGTATTTGGATACAAGTGTGACGGTTTTTTACGAGCGTAAATCTGGAGTTGGCCAATCACACCAGTTGAAAAATCTCCGTCGCACATGTGTCGAACTATATTCTCTTTATAATTATATTCTCTTTCATGATTAATAATAAAATTTGTACAACTCATCTATTTTCCGTGGTTCTGTATTTTATTCTCTAGTATTATTTTCTTTTGACACCAATTGAATTTTTATCACGTTTTACGCATTCTGAAATTCTATAAACTGTCAAGGTTTCTCGAACTCAATAATCCAAATCAATTTCTCTGTGATTTCAGTTGAATCTTTCATTTTAACAAAATTTATATAATTCAAACTGTTTGATTAATTTATCCGAATAATGAGTACCGAACCACGGAACGAAACGCGTTAGAAAAATACGGAAGAACTAGTGCGGAATATTACTTCAATGAGAACTCGCGGGAAACTAACTTTGGGGGTGCCTCAATGCACTTTTATAAACTCGGATTATGAATGTGCTAATTAGTATATGTGTACGAATTATTATGTTTGTCAAAGGAGGGGCATCACACGATGTCGACGCGCCAAGGCACGCCTGGGTACGGATACCTGAACCTCCTGATGATGACGCACTTGGGAACAATTCCAGGCGTTGCCACCTAACGATCACGTGGTCGTTATATAAAATGATTCAATTTGATTCATTATTCGATTTCAGGCCAATTCTAATTTCAAAATGTTTCATAATATTTTCTTTAAATTCGATAAATTTTCCTTAATTTTCCTATCTTTATACCATTTTTCTGTACGTCCTATTTCTCATCTATAAAGGAAATGAGGCCGTCATGAGGTCTGATCACCCAAAAGGGTGTCTTTGACTCATGTCAAATAAAAAAAAGCAACAATTGTCTTCCCATTTTCATCGTTAAATTCTTTCCTTATGTTTCTTACATGTAGGATCCATGACAGTAGTTTTATTTTCAAGATATGATTAGATTTATTCAACAAGAAAAGAACTCCATACATCGAATATTTTACAAGTCCGCCAATTCCCTCATACGTCTTAATCCGATAGTTCAAACTCCGGTTAACAACTAACTACTTTACATTTCTGCTCATCCTTAAATACTTAAATCTCTCTCCCGTTATCTTTGTCCCTTGCATTCAATTTTGCGTTCATTCCTTCTCATTCTATTCTCGTGAACATACTTAATGACGCATCCGCCCTTATACCTGAACCGTCCGTATTTTATTATTTTACAACCCATCGGTCCCTCAACTATGCCGCGTACTTCCCCGATGTCTGGACAGCCCCCAATTATTTCTCAGCTCGACTATTTCCATTTAGTATTTTATTATTATAATCCTCAATGTTCCTAGCCTGAAACCGTTTCTGGCGAGACATTTCCCACTTCTCTTTTTACACGTTTTTCCCCCAATAGGCGACACTTGCTTAATAATCGAAACTATGCATTCTTCATACAGGTAATCGATGATTATGTTTCTTACTCAGATTTCAGCCAATCAGAGCGCAGTATTTGAGGCTGTCAAACAGTTTTATTTCGGAAATTTCTAAAAAATTTCCGACGGAAATTCACTAGTAGCTTTTCAAATGTTTCTCATCTTTCAACGAATTTCGCGTTTAATATTCTGTGTGACAGATGAAAAAAAAAGTGGGTTGTAAATGTATGGCTGTGTAAATGTATTTGGATGCTGTTCACTGCACTCTGCTTGGCTGACATCCGAGTGGAAAAATAATCCGTCAAATACCACTCGTGCTTTAAAACTAATCAGATATTTTCCTCAAGCTTCCCTGCCAAAGAACAATTATGTCAAATTTTGCAGAAAGATCCCTCGTGCTTCGCACTCGGGATTTTAAACCTGCAGAATTTGACACAATCGTTCCTAGGCAACGAAGCTATCGGAAAATATCCGATAATTTTGAAGTACTAGTGGTATTACTAATGAAAATTTAGACGTGTTTCAACTTGATATTCCTTTACAAAACCCCTCATTATTTGCTATTTCAAAGGTCAAGGAGATGATACATCTCCTGACATAACAATAGGATCAACTAACTACTCTCGACTTCAGATTTCGGTTTTCAATGAATATCTTGGAATTCAAGAGAGTTGGTAGAATTTTCCAGTTAAGAATAAATCTTCGAATTGATCCGAAAAATTGATCAATGAAAAAAAAATTATTAATAACGTAGTTAATGAAAGGTATTTTCATTTTTCAGTGTTTGATTCCTCATCAAAAATTCCTTCAGGAATTTTGATAGGAAACAATGAGGACTTGGGTATCTACGATGAGTGTGTATCAATCGAAATTCAGAAGGAAATCGGATTGATTCGTGGACGTCACTGTATGTACTCATTAACTATGATGGCATCCAGTTGGCCAATGCCACTCCACACAACGTTATCTATTTGCCTACCTTCGGCATGTGGTGCTCAGTCTCTGATGGCAATATTACAGAATGCGAGTCATGAGGCATCAGATCAGCTGCCATTCGACATTAGGATGGGGAATGCCGCATGCTCGGCATTGGATTCTCCACCGTTCGAAGTCGGAGAAATCCTGACAATGTAAAATCAAAATTTTTACACTATAAACTCCATTTGAGGGGGAAACGTGCCGAGACTTTGGTTGCTGAAGTATGGGGCATCTTAGGAAGTAGGAAACTTCCTATTATTGAAATCAATCAATTTCATCGCGTACGTCATGCTAAAAATTCACCTATTGAGTTTTTAGCTTAAAAATGTTGCAATTTAAACACGGGTAATTAATTGAATTCAAACGCGGTATCCATCCTCCATGAGACTGGTGATCCATACTCCGAGACCTGAAAGTCTGGCCAAAGGAAGAGAAGATAAAAAATAAAATTGCTAAATTTTTTAACAAAAATGTCAAGAATTGGGAAGTTACGAGGAGGTCGATGGGAAGACTTGAAGGCGGAGGGTTGGAAATTTGAACCGACAAGAGGAGGAGGTAGCTGGTTCTATCGGAGCAATCCCGATCACTCCGTTTGCATGCCTTGTTTAAATAAAAAATAAAATTATTGAATTTTTTAACAAAAATATTGAAAATTAGGGATACTAATGGAATATGGGTGCAAGTGAATAAATGCAGCCACTTTATTACAATCTCTTTATTTGCATGAGGAAGCCACGTCTGTACTAGAGGATCGCTAGCCCGAGACAAGAAGCCATAGCCAAGTGAAAACTCTCACTGGGAAAACAAAAAGCAAAAATAATAAAGTTTTACGACTGAAGAGGACACAGTCCTTCTTCGAATTTCAGCTTGTGTTTAGGATTAAACCGCTCTCCAGTGCAGAGAACAACCGATCGTAAATTAGTCTCTTTCTAGAAATGTTTTCCCAGTATGTCATAAATCGTTGTCGAGTAGTTTTTGTACAATAATAAAAGAGCTGTGCTCGAATATTCCAACAGATACACGAGGGGGTAGAGATATGTGGACGATTGGCAATTTCCCCCAACATGAAGAAGATATTGCAGAATCTATTCCAGCTCAGCTAAATTTGACAACCTCTCTTCATTGTTGGGCAAAATTTTCAACCCTCCGCATACAGACTCCACCCCTTTCTAAAACGCCAATTTTCGAGATTTTTGGCAGCCTCTATTCACACGCTCCACGGTAACTTTGACCGTGCATATCGGGTCGTGCACGGGTCGTATATACGGGACGTTTTGCCGTGGATTCAAGATAATTTCGACCGTGGATATATGGGAGATGGTGGACTCTCAACTTTTACTTCTCAAATTAAATCTAGACAAAAACTAGACACATCAAATCAATTGATAAGTGATATGCAGATAGTAGATTAGTAAATAATTTTCTCACAATATTAATTCATTGAATACGAATATCAGTCTAGATGAACGCAAATAAAAGATGAAATAAATAGTTTTTTACATTGTGACCGTTTTCTACATTCTATAATACTAATTCCTGAAAAAAGGATTAGGGCGAGTCAAGAAAAGGGACAAATAAGGGATAATTTGAGAATAATAATCTATATTTTTTTCTAAGTACAATTATGATCGTCAAAAGACGTAAATAAGGCCTTTACTGAGATCTAGGGAGGGGGGGAGGCCAGGCAACTTTTGTACACGTAAAAAGGGAGTGACTCTAATGCAGAAAAAAGGGGAGAAGCTAGTCGTGTCGAGGGAATGCAACTAAATATGAAAGTAATGACTGAATGGGGAAGAAACAAAATAGTGTAGGCTCACCGTTGGGGAGTATGAAGGGTAATATTGTGGGGACAAGAGGGAAAATGAGGGGGGTAACTCGTACTCACGACTTCCCGTTGTGGCCTGGACGTCCAAGAATTCAGGTCCTTCAGCAACTCCTACGACTGAAGCTTGGTTCCTCCTTTCAGAATCCAGGGGTACAGTATTTAGAGCCGGGATGAGCTCGGGCACCAAAATCCTCTTCAATCTATCGCAAAATCCAATATACGGAATTTCGGGGTATGTACACTATTTCTTAACTCTTGGGGCGCACGTGGCAATATCCAGGACAGCGGTTGCACGAGTGTCGGTCGTTTCGTTTCCTCCGTGATTCGTGGGGGTTCGTCAGATGCCGAAGTCCTTCGGGTTGTAATTCGGGACCAATCGGGGCCAATCAACACGGATGAGTGGTGACGATGACCACAATCCAGGGATGTCTCGCTGGGATCGTCGAGGGCGCTGGGTTGCCGAAGCCCATGTATGGGTGGTTTGTGGGGGGAGCAACGGCTCCTTCAGGTTATCCAGTAGGGCCGAAACTGTTGTCTTTCTTCGGCTGAGGTCTTCGTGATGTCCAGTGGCGGGAGGAGAGGGGCGATGAGGGGAAAATCGAGGGAAGGGGTATTCAACGGTGGCGGGATTTTAGTATTTAGGGGGCAGTGTGTAGTTGGGCAAAGTATAAAATAAAAACAAATAAAAATAAAAGAATCGCCTCGTCACAACATTTTATGTGAACGTTTTCTCAACAATATTCATATTTGTCTAATGGGGTCCGAGTGCAGGAGTGGGTGCCGAAATATAGTGCAAATTATTTTAAGGATGATTTTCCAACTAGGGGAGACTCCTAGACCCCACTGGACAATGTTGCTACAACTCTAGTTTTGAACTCTACTCCCAGAGTTCAAAACCAAAGTTCATAGCAGAGATGTCAGACAAGATGTGAATGTTTTTTGAGGCTCGAGTGCAAGAGCGGATCTCGAAATATAGTGCAGATGATTCTAAGGATAATTTTCCAACCAGGGGAGACTCCTAGACCCCACTGGACAATGTTGTCGCAACTCTGGTTTTCAACTCTGAAACCGGAGTTCAAAACCAAAGTTCATAACAGAGATGTCAAACAAGATGTGAATGTTTTTTTAGGCTTGAGGGCAAGAGCGGATCACGAAAGACAGTGCAGATGATTCTAAGGATGATTTTCCGACCAGGGAAGACTCCTAGACCCCACTGGACAATGTTGTCACAATTCTGGTTTTGAACTCTACTTTCAGAGTTCATAACCAAAGTTCATAGCAGAGATGTCAGACAAGATGCGAATGTTTTTTGAGGCCCGAGTGCAAGAGAGGGTCTCGAAATATGGTGCAGATGATTCTCAGGATGATTTTCCAACCAGGGGAGACTCCTAGACCCCACTGGATAATGTTGATACAACTCTGGTTTTCAACTCTGGATCCAGAGTTCACAGCAGAGATGTCAGGCAAGGTTTGAATGTTTTTTGGGCGCGAATGCAAGAGTGGGTATCGAAATATAGTGCAGATGATTCTAAGGATTACTTTCCAGCTAGGGAAGACTCCTAGACCCCACTGGAGAATGTTGTCATAACATTGGTTTGAACTCTGGATCCAGAGTTCAAAACCGGAGTTCATAGCAGAGATGTCAGACAAGATACGAGTGAGAATCTACCGTGGATCCACGGTAAAATTTACCGTGGAGCGTGCGAATAGACACTGCCGAGTTTTTTGTTAAAAAATTTGACAATTTTATTTTTTATCTTGTCTTCCTTTGGCTAGACTCCCTGGTCTCAGAGTATGTGCCACCAAGCACATATTTCGACACCACATCTTTTTATCTCAACAACGCCAGCGAACAGAGTGACGGGGATTGCTCAGATATAACTTGCTACCTCCTCCCCCTTGTTGAGTAAAATTTCCAACCCTCCGCCTACTTTGATGCAACAAACCACACCCTTTCCTTAACCAATGATAAACTGAGCAAGAGGTTAGCATTTAAAGTAATGATTGCTTAAGACAAAAATTAATCTACTATAGAAAAAAAACAAGAAATTCCCAGTGACGTAACATACTGAGATAGTTTCCCATGAATTGTGTATTTTTTTACCATTTTATCCTTTTACGCAAAACACTTTAAGGCATTGAAAATTTTGAATTTCAGAACGATCTTCTCAATCTTTATTTGTTTCCTCATTGGCTGTACCATTTGCGATATTCTGATGAGGACCATCATACACGTAGATCCAGAAAGTGTTGTCAACGAGTTTTGTAGATTCTCATTCTACACGAATTTGAAGCGAATATTCAGCACTAAAGAACCACGAGAGAATATACCAGCGATTCAAGGATTGAGATTCTTCAGCTTATGTTGGGTGATCCTCGGTCATGAGTATGGTTTGAAAATGCTGGGACCCACGATCAATATGGAAGACATACCTAGTGTACGGCATCAGAATCAAATCGTGCAAACAAACTTATCAGAATATTTTGAATTGTCAGTAGGAATAGCCCAAAATCTTCTCATAGATATTTCACAATAGTTTGGTTATGCAGAAGTTTTGGAATTCACATTCGAACGAAATTCTATTGTGAGAAATGTATGATCACGTATGAAAAAATACAATAGAAAACCTCGTGAATTCGTTAGAAAATTCGCGTGAAATTCTATAAAAATTCTATGGGGTTTCTATAGGACTTCTATTGTAATTTTATTGAAAAAACCCTATTTGTTTTTTGCATTGATTCTTTTAGATATTCGATAAGAAAAAGGCAATGGATTTCGAATTTCTGTTCGAATTTTTCTCTTCAAATGTTTTCTATTAGAAATTATTGCGTACAAATTTTCCAAATTTTTTCCGCTGGATTTTGTTTTGTTTTGCATTACAAAATGCGAGTCGAGAAAACATAGAAAATTGATGCCCAAGCATTCTTACAGAAAAAATCTCAAGAGAAAATTTCAAACAGAAATTCGAAATCTACTGAAATTTTTTTATCGAATATCCAATAGAATTAGCGTAAAAAAATAGAATCCCAATAGAATTCCAATAAAATTCTAACAAAAATCCTATATAATTTCCATAGAATTCTTATATAATTGTCTAGCAAATTCACTAGGTTTTCCATTGCATTTCTTCATTCGTGATGTAACGCTTGATTCAAGTACGAAGAATAACAATTTGAATTCATTACCAAATTTTCCAGTGGATGCAGTCATGGAGGTCAATTTACATTGCTCTAGCACCATTTGCCGTGGACACATTTTTCACGCTTAGTGGCTTCCTAATATCGTATCTGTTTTTGAAGAAAATGGCAAAAGGTCAAACGTTTAATCCTGTTATGTATTATCTCCATAGATATATTAGGTAAATTACCAAATGATGAATCAATGATGAAAGCATATTAATTGTTTCCTACACAATAATCGACTTAACTTACAGGTTAACACCAGCCTTCGCAGCCTTGATTCTACTAACCATTTACATATTTCCAAGATGGGGGTCTGGCGCGTTGTGGGAATCCCTGGTTTATCAAGAGAGGAAGACGTGCCAAGAAAATTGGTGGCCCATGCTACTATACGTTCACAATTACGTGAACGCTGGTATTATGGTAAGTTCAAACATATCATATATTCGAATATGATTGAAATAGTTCTAGATTCTAGGGTTTCTCGAACCATGATGGATTTTCTCTGGAATCGATTCATCAAGGATCTTTCAAAGTCGTAATTCAAATGAATCCAATAAAATTACTAATAGTAGTAACCGAAAAGAGACGAGCGAAATCACAAGAGGGATCACAGGCTCTTAGGTATTGAACGGTTATGAGGATCAAATGGAACAGGCGAGCAAAAAGATCCTAAAGCTCAAAAGAGTCGAAGGAAAGAGGTCCCTTAACTCTTAGGATCGTTTGGTGCATCTCTCCCGTCTGGCTCTTATACGCAAGAACAAAATAGTTCTAGAAGAAGAAATATATCGGATTCTAACATATTGTTATTCGATCCAAAAAAGTGCATATAACATGAAATTAGAAATACTTCAACTTATATTGTAAAAAGAACAGTATACCCTGGTACAAATGTCACAGTGAACTTCCACGGAGAACCATAGTATGGGTTAACAGGGCCAGAGCGAATCATTACAATCTTGCTAGCTCTTTCAAAAGAGTTGGCTTCATCGAGTCTTCATCTTGAGATTGTGGTGATCCGAGTGAAGACCTCGACCATGTGCTCTGGTACTGTCCCATCTATGAGCCACACCGTCAGAGGCTTTTGGCAGGGATACGAAGTGAAGGCTTCCTCCCACCCTATGAAATCAAAGTCTTCTTAAAGAAATTGAATAGAAATGTTCTCGAATATATTGATTCCTTCTTGAACTCCTCAGGATTGAATATTTGAAGCAGTGATGTAAATCGTTACGAATAGTGCCTGAAGAATTATTTTGTAAACACACTTGTATTTTTGTAATTTTGTATAGCAGAATAAACTACATGGTTTGAATGCTTAAATAACAAAAAAAATGAAATTAGATGAATTGATTTTGTCATTCGCATCTATTTGAATCCCATTTTAAAAGTGAATCGGTCATAAAAGTCAGATAGAAAATGGAACTAAATAATTAGAAGTTTCACAGGCAAACTGAAGAGTCGAGCGAATTGATCAGAAGCGTCACGCGTCTAAGACGAAGCGATCTTAAGGTTCACACAGGAAGGGCAAACAAACAATTCTAAGACTCAAATGATCTCTCCCTTCTAACCCTTACGTATGCATAGGATTCTTTTGCTTGTTCCCTGTTTCATCCTCACGAAAAACATTTTACGAGGATAGGCCCCCAGAGAAATATACGCGAATAAGCTCCTAGACTCATCATTGAAATCAAGGCCTTACCAATTTGTAACTTTAGGGCTGCCTGACCCATACATGGTACCTAGCAGTGGACATGCAACTATTTTGGATATCTCCGTTGATCCTTTATCCTCTGGCCAAGAGACCGAACATAGGATTGGCTATTCTTGTAGCATTGATCGTAGCATCAATCATTTCACCTGCAGTTATTGCGGCAGAACATGAATTCTCAGGAGCAGTAGCACCATCTTTGATAGAGTGAGTTAATTTCAAGACTGAAAAGAATACCTAATTACGGAAAACTATGAACAAATTACAAAATGTCTTCTCCTTACCCCCATGAAAGACCTAAATATATTATTTCTGTCGCAGCTTAGAGCATGTCCAGAACATGATGACCGAGTTCTATATGGTTAGTCATACTAGAGCAGGTCCTTGGCTCCTAGGTGTCCTGTTGGGCTACATTCTTCCCAAACATAGACATTTGCGATATTCTTCAATGAGAGTGGGCTGGATATCAACATTCCTGGCATTTTCTTTTATATTTTTCACATATAGAATCTTTCAACAAGATGGATACAAGTGGAATGCCCCTTGGGAAATATTCTACACTGCAGTTGCAAGGCATATATGGGCCTTTGGCGTATGCTGGCTCATCTACGCTTCTATACTCGGATACGGTGGAATTGTGGGCAGAATTTTATCTCTGCCGATTTTCATGCCCTTTGGGAGGATATCATATTGTGTATATCTGATTCACTTCATGATGCAACTAATGAGAATAGGGGCTACTAGGGTACCCGTATATTTTACGGATGGTGGAATAATTTATTCTTTCCTTTCTGAGTACATTGTCTGCACTCTTGGTGGACTGGTCCTGAGCCTTATTTTTGAATCACCATTTATGGCTCTTGAGAAAATTATTTTTAGAGGGAAATGTAAGGGAACAAAACAAGAAATACGTGAGGAGCCTTCACACCTAGGACGATCACAGGGTATCCATAATCAAGAATACGGGCATGATAATATTTAACCAGATGATCAATATTATTGTGTGAAACAGAAAATAGTATATTTCGATACAAGTGCGGAAAAGTGTTTTTTGGCTCGTGAGAGGTTTATAGCATGAGCCGCAGGCGAGTGATATAATCCCGAGCCAAAAAACACTTTTTCCATAAGTATCGAACGATATTGTTTATCACAATGTGTGAAAAAAATTTCACTTTACACCTAATTAAAATTTCACTTACAAGTGTTGAAATTTTATTCAGGATGAAGCAGAATATCAATAATGCTTGGTTAATTCGAAAAATCCATTGAATGAGCTTGAGACATGGCAACAGCGTTGGAGTACACTGTTGAAAAATTTTCACTGAAGTTTCCAGGCTTTAGTCTTGAACTATGAAACAAGTGACGGTTTCATTGAAATTTCAGGGAATTTTGCCATTGAAAATGCGTGGTTTTCGTGGAAAATTCATGGAAATTTTAAATTTCACCTAAATTATTCCATGAAAATTAATGGAAATTAGAAAAATTCAAGCAAAAATGTCCTTGAATTTTCAATTTTTTGAAATTTCAGAGCAATTTCTTATTGAATATCATGTTTACATTGAAAATTCATGGAAATTTCGATATCTTCATGGTTCTTCCACTGAAAAATCAGGAATTTCCTTGAATTTTCAGGAAAACTTGAAATTTCGTAGACTTTTTCCGTTAAATTGAATTCAGTGTCATTCTCTGGAAAATTCAGTCAAATTTTTTTAACAGTGTAACAGGTTAATTTCATAGAAAGTTTAGAAGTCATTTTCAGGCAAGCGAGTCCAAATTTCATTGAAAATTTAATTGATTTTCGAAGTTCACTGAAAACTTAATGGAATTTCAAATGAAATCGAATTCCATGTGAAATCGGTCAATCTGTGACTGTTTTCTTTAGCTCTGATTGCTTAACCCTATAAGGTGAATTTCAATATCCCCACCCTATGGCCGTCGAAGCGGTGAAAAGCGTCCTCACTCGAGCGTCCTACTAGGCTTTTCACCTTAGAGGGTTAACCTGACAAATTTCCTGGAAATTAGTGAACAACTCACATTTCAACAATTATGCCTCAATTTTTACTTTTCTAATTAAAAAAAAAATTCTTATCCGGAAAACTTGTCTTTTGAATGCAATTTGAGAATCGATAAAGCTTTGACACTATTTTATCATTCAAATGAGATCGGCCACGCGTGCTACGCATGCGTTTTCTCATCTCCTCACGTAGTGTCGCTTCGGTTTCAGTCTTACGCTTACGCTTATTCGAGAGTTTCGAGATTTATGGAGATCAATTTACATTCTCCTTTTCCTGATAGGCTTTGTTGAATCCAAATTTCACTGTGTGACGTATTGGGATCGATCAATACGTTGATTTATATCTAATAATTTTAAATCTGCGAGTGTCTGAGTGTTGGGAACGAGAAATATAATTTCTCTTTTCTGTCATCCAGACACTGGTCAGCAATCCCACAGTGTCGTTTGGACATCTTGGTGAGCAGTCTCACGGTTAGGCAAAGTCCAGTTCAGGTATACTGAACTGTTTGACTGTTTTAGTTCATGTCAATGACGACATAAAAATAGTATTAGTGAAGAAAACCGTGAGACTGCTTAGCTAAGCAACCTGGGCCCTTGACGAGCTTTGACGAGTATGCTGGACTCACCAGAGAGCATAGTACGATCAGGGACAGAACGGAGCAGATCTCTGAGCTCAGGCCTTAAGCCTTACAATCGGGTCAAAGTCCCAAGTTTGAGTCGCGGACAATTTAGCAACGCGTTATACCAACCCATCTTGATCATTATCGTGTATCAACAACTAGCTTAATAGATCATCCCTTTAAGTATTGAGCACGCCCGTGATTATTGAGAACGTCACCCTTCATATCCTTCACGACATCCCTCCGAGTGACCGAATCCCCAGTGAGCTCACCGCCGAAACTAGCCGAGGTCAGAGTGACAAACAACGCAAAGGATTACAGTGCAGGAATATAAAATATAGTGAAAAGAAACTTTCATAGAGTTTTACCTCCGGGTAAAATTCCAAAACGTCACAACTGTCTTTAGCAAAATTACCAGAAATTTTTCCAGAAATTTATATGACCAGAAATGATCGATATTTGTCTATTGTTCAGGATAATGATTAATCTTATTTTCTGAAGCTTCAATAAAAATTCTGGATATCTGAAAAGAAAGGTCAAAATGAAATACATTCAGGGATTTTTCCAATTTGTAATTGTCCTTACAATGATGGCGTAATTAGAGAAAATAGAGTTTTTCAATTATTTGTATTATTTTTGTATTATTATCTGGTGGATGATGAACCGTTTGTAACAGGAAAAACAGTCATGATGTAAATGCCAAATAACTTGTAAGACTCTCATCCTAGTGTAACTATAGCAATAAACTATTTAGTACAATTCTATCTGAATTCCGAATAATTTTTTCAATCATTTTTGTACCATTTGTGATATTATCATCAGAATAACTTTAACGGTCGTACCGGAAAACTGCTCGAATGAATTTTGTAAATTTTCTATTTATACAAAAGTGATACATATATGTGATACAACTGTACCATTGGGTACCATATCAACGATTCCGCTGATGAGATTTTTTAGTTTGTGCTTGAATATCCTTGTGTATGAATATCTTATACCCGCTACTGCCGTAATTGTGAATTTAGTAGATGTAGTCACGGTGATTCTCTTGACAAACGTGGAATACCCGGAGAGAAATGTTCAGTAAAAATTACGGAATTACGGAACTCACAATTTGCAAACCGATTACGCAATCGACTCAGAAAATTTGAGTGACGGTATCGTAATATTTCGTAGGAGATTCAGATAAATATTACGGAACGCTCTGGAAAAATTCCGTGATAGTTCCGTAAAATTTCCTACAACCTCATTTCGCTCCGGAATTACGGAAAGGATACGTAATTTTTATTGATTATTGTTCCACCTCTAATATCGGGCAATATAATTGACCCATTCGACATCACGTGGTACAAGCTACAGGGTTTTCAACTGATAATTTTTTGATAATTTCCTCTGGTAGTTGCTACATTAAAAACAAAACATCATGCAGTCGAATTAACCTCTCGTTAAACTGACAGATTGAATTCAATTGTATCGTTGTGTTAATTATACAATTTTCATTTCTCAATTGTGAGTTTCGTCTCATGGTCCAATTATATTGCCCGATATTTGGATTGGAACAATAATCCCCCGAATACCACACGAGCTTCAAAATTAATCGGGCATTTTCCTCAAGGTTCCCTGCATACAAACGAAGTCGTCAAGTTTTTAAGGAAAAATCCTTTAACCTGAAAAACTTGACTCCTTCGTTTGTTTGCAACAAACCTATCGGAAAATACCCGATAATTTTGAAGCTCTTGTGGTATTACAAGTGAATATTTCTTTCTGTGTATCACATCTCCAATTATGGTTTTCCAGTAACGAATCAAGTTCTGTAAATTTTTGTGGAAAATTTCATGGAATGCAGCATGCCGATTTATTATAGCACTATTTCCAGTAACACATTTTTTGTACACAGCGGTTTTTTAACTCTTATCTCTTCAACAAAGGAATGTCAAAAGGTCGTCAATTTGATTTGATTATGTACTACTATTTTACAATTCCTTTGAATATCTAACGAACACAGTCATAACGGTTAGAGGGGCAATCAAATATTACGTCGCACGAATAAGGGAAAGTGTTCAGTGTCATATAAATTGTGACGTATTTCTTACCTCTGCGGAAGATAATAGATACGCAGCCCTCAGCGACCCAAACGACAAACCAAAGGTTGGGCGCCAGAACGTATGAAACGTTCACCAAAATCGAAGACGAAATCAAACGAGCGATAAAACAAACAACGATGAGAGAGCGATCGCCGACAGCTCAGATCAACCGCGGAGGCGGCTGGGTTCCACAAAATCCGCTCTCAATAAAAATTACCCTGAAATGACTGGGTTCCTTATTACTAATAAATCATAAGAAGATTCAGACTTTCGGGGAGAAATAATATTTAATCAATTTCTAGAAAATTCCAGTATCAAAATGTAAATCAGTTATCTAATTAATTAAACCCCGTTATTTTCAAATTATTTCTCTTTACGTTATGCTCTAAATCACAATCAGAAAATCACAAAATTCATAAACCGATCTAATGACTCGATATTAAATCGATTCCCTCAACGTCATCCGTCAATTAATAAAATACTAGTCAAAGATAATTTGAATAAAGTCAATAAATGAGAAAATCTATCAAGAAGTCAAAAAAACTAAAGTAACTAACCGGGTTACTGCAAGGTCGAATGTCACGACAAAGGAATCGATAAGAAGAACAACGAAAACTGTTGCGAGAAAAATAATTCAAAATTGTAGTCTGATTCTCAAACGACGCGATTCGGATTACCACGACAAATACTAATAACAATTACCAAAGCCGGTGAATCTGCCTAACGCAAGGTCACGGCTACACGATACAAAAATACGGAAATCAAGCATCGACAAAGACGCTGTAAATACAAATCACGTCGATAATTCCTACACTGTTCGGTAATGACAAAATTCTAAATTAAATAAATAAAGTAATATACGAACAGCGATAATGCGAAAATTCCCTGAAGCTGAAAAATTGCCCCGAGAATTCCACTTTGGATATCCGAATTTGTTCCAAAGTGAATGCGAAACGAGAGTTGCTACTTACGACAAATATTTGAAATACTGAATTTCAATCGGAAGAATTCGACATAAATATTTTTAAAAAAACTCGTAAATTGATACAATAAGAGGTTCACTGAATTTTTCCCGAAACCGTTATAATGCTCCGCTGAGCGAGAAGCCAGATCTCGTCAAAATCCGAAAGCCAAAAATCTAATGGCGTCATTCGCCATGGACGAAAACCGTTTGTCCAAAAGGAAGCTAATTTCACGAGATCCCGCTCTCTATTACAATCAATAAATTAACGATTAATTAGATCCACCGCTCACCAGAACTGAAGAAGTCTCAGCAACAAATTCTCCGGGAAAAATTAGGACTCCCAATAATCGTCAACGAAAGATGTCGGAGACAACGAGAATTCGGGCGTCGGAACACGGTAATCATTTTTATAATTCACGAAAAACTTGCGAACTGTCAGTCTCGCCATCCAAACGAGAAGTCCTCTCCTCGGCACGCTCGATGGCACATTTTCTCGATTGCCGAAAATCCAGCCCTCTCATTGGCTGTTACTTTCACCGGAGAGACTTTTGATTGGAGAGTGATGACGACGTCAACTCTCTCCCCACCGGAATCCACACCGGACAACCACGTGATTTATAATTTTCCCTCCAAATCCACAGGGATAAAACCAAGCGATAAAAATGTAGTTCCAACTACTCGCGAATCGCATAATGATAAATAACCATTAATTTATGTTTCGGGTCCTTTATCAATGGACCGAAAATATTATTTTCGCCTAGATTCATTCGGCGCTCGAGCTCTCCAATTCTGGCTCCAGTAGCTGGCGCCGCGACACGGCCAACCTGCGTACTCCTCAACCGGCGGGGATATTCAAAACTCCAGATCCATCCCAGACTCTGCAGAACCGTTGCTCCGAGACCCAATTTCAGCATCTAAATTCTTGCATCTCATTCCAGTCCTCGTTTAGGCTCATCCAGATCCCCCGATGTGCTCCGATGAACGGTGGAGTGGAATGATTCAATACAAACCAAAAGGATACTCAATAAATAGTCGAACAAAAATCTAGATTTTGACTCTCGCTTCGCTTTCGCAGTGACTTCTCGTCTGGATGTTTAAATGAAACCGCAGAACGGTCGAAAGACAAAAATAACACGTTACAAAATATAAAACAAAAATGTTCAAATAACCGAAGAAATTTAATGTAAAGGTAACGTTTTTTATCCAGCAATGTCTCTTTTCAAGGTCATAAATTATCTCATCCTTAAACTCGTAGCCGGAAATAGAAAAAATTAGAAACCTTTCACTTGGGGAAAATACAGAAGGCACATACTGGCCATAAAACTCGAGCGCATGGAGGGACCGTTCGTACCCTTTTTTTTGCTACTTGAGATTTTCCCCAAAGGTCCCAAAATGGACTCCCAGGGCTGCTTCACAGACCTCTCCTCTATTTCACGCCTCTTCTAGAAATTCACCAATAAGAAAATTGAGGGAAATTTCCTTTAAAATCTATTTGCCTTCAGCAACCCTCACTCTTGAAAATTTGTCTTTAAACACACCCCTTCTTCCTCACTTACTTCGGAAAGAAGGAGAATTAAAACAGTTAGCTTCACGACATCGTAGAGACAAGACATTTTCCTCTGTACTCTACCAAATATTTATACCAAATATCCGTAATTTTATTCAGTTGTTTAAGTGATTTATGCAATTATTCATCATCTTTAAAAACTCATTAACGTTATTTTATCGTAGTGCATAAACAACTCAGTGTAAAAACAATTCTTATTTTTTCATAATTAATATATCCAAATTTATGTAGTGTATGTGAACAGTGTTTAATTCATTTGTATACACGTCAATCTACCCAAGACATTTTCGAATTACTCGTCGCTAATGTCAAGTACGGAAGTTTGTGTCGTCGTACTGTAACCAGTATACCTGGGACTTATAACCCCAGAGAAGAGGCCCAAAAATTAAAGGTCACTCGCGACGACCGTCCAGTACATAAAACAGAAAGGAAGGGCGATCTAAATCTAA